ATATGTGGACACCATTCACAATGGACCCATGGGTCCTACAGTTCTTTCAGAGGATCTGGTCCTTCACTTCCATTCCCTTCTCCTGTTATCTCCTCATCTGTTGCCTTCCCTCAACATGTGATCCTGTTTCTCGCCAGTGTCTACAGTAGGTGATTCGGAACTTTTTGGTCTTCTGTTCCTTATCCTTTGGCAGTAGCTGTACATGCTCTCAGTCAAAACTGTAAGGGATATTACGTGTATGCATGTCCTCCTTTTCGTTTTATTCCCTGGTTCCTTTCACTGATTCAGACCATTTTGTGTTGTGTGCTCCAGGTGGCTTCGTTTTGGCCTGCTCAGTTGTGGTTTCTGCTTCTGAGTAAACTTTCAGTGTCACCGCCCCTTCCTTTGCCATTGTCTCTCATGCTCCTTCATCAATCTCAATCAGGCATGCTTCATCTGTCCATTCCCAGTCTCCAGCTTCACGCATGGCTTTTGTCCAGTCCCTTGCCAGACAATCTGGATTTTCTAGGCGTGTTGCCTCATTGATTGTATATTTTGTTCATCCTTTCTTCTTGCCAGTTTATCAGTGTGAATGGTATACCGTCTGCTGCTGGTCACTTTACTGGGTATATTGTCATTCACAACTTTCCCTACCAAAATTATTACATTTTTCACTTGGATCTTCATTAGGGGACTGTCAGTTTTCTTGATTGCTGTCTATCGAACTGCATTATCTTGGACATTCAGATTTACTGAGTTTGCCTCTGTCTTCCAGTCTCCCCTATTGTCTTTGTTATTTTGTACGTTTTCTCTTTCCTGTCCTCCCCACCCCGTATCTCTCCCGGATTGGAATCTTAATGTTGTCCTTTATGCACTCACTCCTCCTCCATTTGAACCTTAGTCTTCATGTTCCCTGTATCACATTTCCTTAAAATCCCTATTCCTCATATTATTGGCTTGTGGCCAGCAGCATTCTGAGATCTTTGCGATTGATGCTTGCCAGGTGCTGTTCCACAGTTTCTAAGTTCTCCTCTTCTCTGGTAATTCATTTTTCCCCAAGACTTCTGTTGATAGGGAGGTAATTCTACTTTTTGTCCCATTTCAGTATCCTTCATTTCCTACATCTATGACCATTTGGATCCTGACTGCCTTCAATGTACAGTCTGAGCCCTCCAATGGTATCTTCCTCGCATGTGCACTTCTTTGGTTCCCATAACTGTTTGTTTATTCCATGGAACCCTTTTGTGTTCCGGGACCTCTCTCCCATTGCCCTCACAGGTGAGATTTTCTAGTTAATTAAGCTGGTGTATTCTTCCCTTTTGCCTGAGGAGTATCACATTTTTAGGGTATCTTCTTATCAAATCCATTACTTCACCATGTCCCTGATTGCCCATTTCCATCTTCTTTTGGAGGTCATCATCGGGGGCCGGTATATGGACTACATCTCATGCCTTTGTTTCACATTATTTGTATCACATGGCTGGTTCTTGCCCAGCATGTTTTCGTTACTTATTTTATTTACAGGGGGCCTTTTTGCTAGTGTATTGTAAATCCCACTCTATTGGTAAGTGGTGCCTGACCAAGTGTACTTTTTTTTTGGAAAATTTGCACTGTCCATTCTGTGACCATGCTCAATGATAATTACATTGTAGCCCTTCCTACCGCAGAACTGATGTACAATTCCAGATGCTGCTAGGTGTTTGTTGTGTGTGTCTGTTCAGTTGTCATCTATGCCGAATCAATTACATCACAGGATTATATTACGCACTCTGTAGAGATTGGGTGTTCTGTAGGACCACTAGTGGTCTTTTGCTTCATAAGTATGTTCATCCCAGACCATACATTCATGGACAATCATGAGTAAAGCAGACAGGTATTGCTGCCCATCTCTGATGCTCCATGGCATTGAGACTCTTCCTACTGCGAACCTAATGTACAATTTCAGATACTGCTAGGTGTTGGTTGATCAAATCTGTCTACGTGATAGCTCTGCTTCTCAAAATAGGGTATTGTTGTCACTCATTGCACTGTCTCTGGTGATGCGGTACTCTGGACTCTCCAGCACATTTTCCCCTTCTTTCTTGAAGTGGAGTATGAGGGTGGTGGACCATGGAGGCCTCTCATACCATCATACCACTCAGTTTTTCTGGTCTATTGATTCTTAGCTTAAGAGTATGCAAATTTGTAAAAAATCGAGTTTGAAGTTGGGGTATTTTTTATGGGCCTTTGAGCATGCACGGGCCCAAGGGTAGTTGCTCCCCCCTCGGTGGGCCTGCCGGGAAGTCAGGTGTTAGTTGGAGATAGTCTAGCTAAGTAAGTCTTCACGTGTTCTGGCTGGTATCCCTCCTCCTACTGTGGACTGGCTGAACAGTTCCTAATGCTGCCAGGTTTTGGACTGGAGATGTATCCCAGGTTTGCAGTCCCTCTTCCTACCTTCTGCTGAATCTCGCTTCCCAGCATAGCTGGTGTTGGTTGTAGCTGAATGCAGCACATATATTCCCACTTGTATATGGTCAGGTATCCTCCTCCTACAGTGGACTGGAAGAAACATGCCCAATGCCGCTTGGTTTTGGACCGGAGATGTCATCCCACAGGGGCTTTCAACCTTCCTACCATTTGCTGGATCTCAGTTCGTGGTGGATCAAATATTGGTTGGGTTGGAAATACGTGCAAGTGGAGATGGATTTTGGTACAGAAGCTCATCTTCCCTACCAATTCCTGATTCGAGGGGAAGAGGGAGGTGATTCTCTGCCTACTGCGGAACTGATTCACAATTCCTGATGCTGTCAGGTGTTGGATGAGGTTGAACTACTGCTAAGTACTGTCGCACCCTAGCCACTCAACACCCAGGGATCTCATTAATAAGTAATATGTATTATGGGATTCCTTCATGTTTTCCACCTTTTATGTTTGCAACACAGTTATAAAAGAGCAAAGAGTATACCTGGATCAGTGGTGTGGTCTTCCGCTGAGGTGTAATATTTTCTGTTTTGGTTTCACACCTCATGGATGTTTCTTAAAGGAGGATCATTTTTTTTTTTACCAGCCCTCCACCAGTTCAATGTGCGATTCTAGTTATTTTGTCATCGAATTCAAAAAGGTGAGATATCATATCAGAAGTTAATGTTTTCCTAAATTGAAAATGTATTTCCAGTAGATATTTACCTCCTCTCACATTTCTCACCCAGCCTCCCCACTTCTAGTGAAACGTCTTGACCAATCTCAAAGTGATTAACAAGTACAAATGTGGAGAGGGGGCTGCTTACAATAGGGGTTGTGTTGTGCTCCTGTTGATGGAGAGGTGCTGCATAATCATTTACATGTGGATATACAAAAGCAGGAGGTGGAAGGCTAGTGGTGAGTATTGGAAATTTGTACCATTAGAGGGCAATACTAATCAGGAAAGCTATTTTGTGAGGAGAGATAAATATCTACCTGAAATACATTTTCAGTTTAGGAAAATGTTAACTTTGACAACAACTTTTTGTAGTTTGTCCAACAGAATTTTGTTTCATTTCATGCAACTAATGAATATGTGTGTGATTATATGTATTTTGATAATAAAAGTATTATTTTTCAACAAATAAAACAAGATTTCTAATAAAAAGATTAGACATTCTTCATACCCAAGTTGCAAAATCAGACACTGCTGGGTATGTTACTGAAAGAATGGAACAGTT